ATATAAAAGTTTAGTTTTGGTCTGTGTGATAAAACATGATGACTGATTAATTAAATTATTGATACTTGTGTGTAATAAGTCGATTTAAGTGTTTTTATAAAAGAACAGATGACTCAAACATTATGAGAGAGTGAAAAGAAGAGAGTAAAGTTCTGATAAAGTTATTTGTTTTGAATTTTAGGATTTTTTTATCAATACTAAATTTTTAAGGACAAAACATCMTTTGTATTTTTACAGAATAATGTCATAGGAGCAGTTTAGAAGATAAACTTTGCAGTTAAACACACATAATTGAAATGCTGCAATGAAAAAGTTTTGCTCTTTTTCAAAATGGCATAAGCCTCCTAATTAATGTTATAWTGAAAATGCCATTTATGTTATCACTTGTGTGAAATCTTCACCATAAAAAGGCAAGAAATGACAATCTGTCAAATAAAGTCAAATGAAAATTGCTGCTTTTTTCGTCTTGTTTTTACCCCCTAATTTGTCAAAACAATTGTTTTTGTATTTGCTTAGTGCTTGCTTTGTATTTGCTATGTACTTGCTTAACATAGAAGGGGTGACTTATGTTTTAATGATTTGAATTAAATTAACTTTCATTGTTATGATACAAAATAGTGAAACAGAAGAGGGTAACCAATATAAAAATCATACAACACAGCAGAATACCATTAGTTTAAAAATCAGTAAACAAAAGTTGATATATTGTAATGTTCCTTGTATTAAAATAATTATCTTGGTTACAAATTGGTCACATTGGTAAAGTGTAGTTTTTTTAAAGAAGCTTAAAAAATTGTTTATCACAACTTGTGTATGCATTTGGATTCATGGTTTAACTGATGTCTGGTGAAAGTCTTCGCGGTGGTTGAAAAGTACAGTGAAAAATGGCGACAGTAACTGTATAATGGAGTAAAACTACCAAGAGTTGATTATCTGGTCCGAGACTTTAGCTTCAACAACAGCATTAGTCAGTGCAAAGACTAGAATGTTTGATACTCGAATGCCTCACCTCAAATCCATCAAAGACATATGCCTGGTCGTCTGAGCCAAGCTCTTTTTCTGGACTACATCCTGGTCGGGCCCATCCCACTCTCATATTCCCAGCTGTCAGTACTTCAAATTCAAAATACCACTTCCCCCTGGTCACAGCATAGGATTTATCTGGTCTGAACACTCTGCTCTTCTCGGCRAAGAAGAGGCAAGGCTTTGATAAGGCAGCTGTCAGTTAAAGAAATGGAGCAAATGAGGTTATTTCTCAAAAAATTTAATTAATTTCTAGTTAGTCTGTGTATAAAAAGTCCAAGTGGGGTAAAGTCTCTTTTAAATAGTGCAACTAATAGTTTCCATTTTTGTTTGACTGGGAACTAACATACTGATGAAACCTGGACTGTTACATTTGATTTAGTTGTAAGTTTTTGGATGAGTAACAGGTTTTGACACATACTCCATTCCTGGCTGATGGGCTCCAGGCTGTAACCAAAYGCCAGCAGGGTACAGACAGCCTCTTTTACACTCTCCAACCCTGCTTTCCTTGTTCTTTCATCAAGAAGGTGGCAAGGCACAAGGTGAGGGCTCCGCTTTGCTTTCCCATCCTAAATATGAAACATACAAACAGTAATATCTGTGACTACAGCATATTTGTTAGAAAACTGTATCRGTGTTTGTCTTAGCAAAATAAAATTGCTGTAAGCTGAAAATTCAGAGCTAGATATTATCTCTTAGTCTGCATTTTATATACGCAGGCAAACAGCCTCAAGACCATTTTTGAGTACGGTTGTGCAACTAAAAACCCTCCAAACATTCAATAACAACTGTTTCGCAAATGTGTCTTATTGATCCAATACAAAAGCATAAAAACACCTGCTGGGCTCCATAGGTCCAGCCCTGTTTGATTCGATCTTTGGCCCATAAATTGTGTTCGTTCTCTGCCAACAAGTCAACCGCCTCCTCATCTGTTGAACTGAGAGCAACTTGGTTTGAGTCAATTGGGGCAGGCCTGTAGCCACAGGGCAGCTCATACCTGAAACAGGACATGTTGAACAGAAATGGTTGATCATAACTGGAGATAAGTGTTTTTAAAGGATTTCAATAATAGGGTAGTGGTTGCATAACTAAGTAGAGTTGAGTGTCCTGGGAGAAAAAAACAAAATTACTTTGCGGGAAGTCTCATGTATTTGACTCTCTCCTCTGCGTGGACGTCTCTCAAAACAATGTGGAAACCAAAGGCAAGGAGAGTCCTTCAGTGAATGAACAGAGAGTAATAAACAGAGCTGAATGGCAGAGAGGTTTCTAAATGTTAAACTGGAGCACAGATTTTTAATGTAATATTGCATGATGCATGAAATGAAGCCCACTTAAGTGTGTCCTGAGCCATTTGAAGGTTCTGGTTTCTCTCCTGCTCTGGGAGCTTGGAAAACTCCACCAGACAAGGATCATGTAGTTTACTTTCATCTTTCACCTGTTTGGAAAAAAATGAAATATTTAATGTGAGCAGAACAAGTGATTATTGTTTTTTTTACAGTTTCTGCAAAATATTGTCTGAACTTTCACATCAAATTAAAGTTTTTTTCTTACTGGTCCATTTGTCCATCCAGTATCAATCTTGTCCTTCAGCCAGAGCTCATGAAAATGTTCTGCCATTTTTTCTCTGATGTACTCAAGTTGTGGAGGCAGCACAATCTGTAAAGATAATATCTGTGATGGCACTTGTAACTGCATTGTGATGTATTGCTTTTTGACAAATTACTCATTTCAAAACGGATYTACAGTATGAGGCTTTTAAAATATTTCATTTTATTTTATTTATTCATTAAACTAAAAAATATAAAATCTGTACACAATAAAAACAAAACAAGTCATAAATGAAATGAAAGGAAGCAGAAAGAAGACAAAAAATGTTAGATGGGCCCCTTTTTTCCCTAAAATTAAATTCAAACAAAAAAATAACAATATTAGGTCCTTCTTGAACAATTCATGTCCACACACATGTATTATAAGTCACATTTCTTCAACAAAATTAAAGAATAAACTTCACCTTGCTGGTGTCTACAGGTGAAGGGGTGAAGATAACTGGAGTGATTGGCACCAGGGGGCCAATRAGCTCTTTTTTCCCTTCTCCACGATCTAAGATGTATTTCTGACATGGCTCCACCTTCAGTTTGACTTTTGGGAGCAGAGCTTCAGAGCATGAAGCATATCCTGCTGGAGGCAGGAAGCGAAACTCTCCATGTCGTCCACCAAACAGAAAACGAACCCTGGTTTTAAGAAAAATACAAGAAATGCAATTACTAGTTTTATGACTTACAGAAATATAAACTGTACTGTAAATCCAATTAAATCTAATTACGGTATGGTTATGATGTATAGTTATCATTGTATAGAATGGAAGTTTAATTAAAACAAAGTGTTTAACTAAAAGCTAAAAACAAGCATAGAACAGTCACTGACTTGACTCCAGCAGAGAAGCTGACCACAGGATAAAGAAGTCCATTAGCACTGAAGTTCTCCAGCATGCCCTGCACRGGCAGACCGTTGACCCGGAAAGAGATGCAAGGACCAGACAGGTCAAGRCAGCAGCTAACCACATCATTATCTTTCAGCAGGTGTGGGAAGGGAGAGCTGACTCTGCGGCCCACACAACCTAAAAATCAGAACAGTAAATCAGAGTTTTCAGTTTTATTCTAAGCACCTCTAAAACCCAACAGCTCAAACATAAAATTGTGAATTATTAAGGTTTCATTCAACAACAAACATAAAACGTATTACAGAGATTACAGCTTAGACTTCAGAAACCTGCCACTTGCCTGTGTTAAAATATTAATGTGCTAACAAAATTTTAGAGCAGCTTTTACAATAGGAAATTACAGTCAATGCCATTGCACTTTCTTATTCCAGATTTAATTATAATGGTTCATAAATAAATCTCTCTTTTTTTTAACTAAATCTCCCTGTAAGTGCTGTATTCAGAATAATAATTTACAATTATCTCCTCTAAGTTCTCTCTTTATTTGATTAGCAAAACTTGTGTATTATTGTACTCCTGTTTTCGGCTTTGAAAATKAATTAATTTATCTTGGCTTTAAATATTATTAAACAAAAAAGAATCCATTATTACTTTATCTTGTGCTTTATTTTTTTAGTAAATAAATCTAAATTAATATTGTTGCTCTCTGCACCCTTTATATAATACTGTGTAGATTCATGTTTTTTTTTCATCATCCACCAGTGTGTATTTGGATCATTACTGAACTCAGGAACAGMAAAAAAAATGTTTCTCATTTTGCCCCTTGATGAATTTAAAGTTGCAATCTTGTGTTACACTAACAATATGCTCACACAGTAACTTTTACTCACCTGACCAAAGGTGTAGTCCATCAAAGCCAWATGAGTAGAGGTCATCTCCCACCCCGTTTCCCCCCCAGCTGTCCCCTCCTGTGGGCCTGGGCTGGTAGCCTTTAGTGAAGGCCCAGCCAACACGCAGATGTGTCGGTTCAGGTGTGAGGAAGGGGTCCACGTGATCCACAACCAGCTCATAGTACCACCTCCGATGTTGGGCTGATGACTCCCCCACATCCACGAAGATGTTTGACTTCATGCTGTTTATAGGGAGAATATTACAAATAGACATTTGTGGCAGCAAGATTTTACTCTATGTGAAATTTAGAATTAGAACAATTACAATATTTCTTAGTATAGTGGGCTAAAATGGAGCCTTTGGTCAAAACAGGATCAACGCAGAAGGAATATTTTGTCACTAAACCACATTGTTAGCTCAGTTTAAGAAAACCTTTGTGGATATCTGTGACTACTTTTCCTCAACCAGAACAAGTCTGTTGCAACACAGTCTGTGGTCTGTGTAACCCAGCTTGTGTACAAATGCAATGTTGAAAAAACAGACCTTGTTTTAGTAAGGGTCTGAGTAAGTGTTAGACGTCTTAGGAGTTGTATTCTGTAAAGCTCTAAAATTGCCTTTGTTGCTTCCTCAAACATAGGGAGCCAGCAGTGAGCCATATTACTAAAGAAAGACTCAATTCATAGCATCACAACTCCACTTAATAAATAAAAGAAAACAGTGTTTATAACTTGGTGTTGCAGATGAACAACAAAAGCCAAGATCTAAGATATGAAACAGCACAGGAATGCTTTTGTAAATTTATTTATTTTTGTGGAGTAGCTAAAGTTTTTTCTTTTTTTAATCTGAAGAAAATCTGGAATTTATAGCTACATAAAAATCACATACATACAACTCTCAAGGAAAGCTTATTTGCAGGTAAAAGAAGAACCACAAAGGATTGAAGTGACTCCGGAGCTGCGCCGGAGTCAAACTTTAAAGATGTCGCACCAACAGGAAAAGAAACGAGCACAACATCCGTATTTTCAAAATAATACAYTTTTAGGCTGGATAATTTGTCGGAATAATGTCAAAATTGCAGCTATATCAATAAATATACGGATATATTTCTACACAAATGCTGTCAGAATGTATCGTTCTGTTTGGGAAGCAGATGGCAACATGTAGCATGAAGTATATGTGTACACACACAATACACGTGGATTTTATTTTGAAATCAGAAGTTTCAGAAAGCCAACAACGAGACAGTTTCAACATAGATAACAAAAGCCTTTATATTGTTGTTTTCAGCTGTGTTTGGAGTTCGTCTTTCACAGAATTAATTATTTTTTGCTGCGACTTCCACATTTATCACTGAATTTATCGTGCAATCTCCTTCCTGCACGTCTGTTGGACCAGACCGGACCGGAGCGGAGCGGAGGTAGTGTAAACTGGACTTAAAATGCACAGCAGTGACCTGTGCAGCGGAGCGGAGTGGAGACGAAACGCAAGCAGTGTAAATTGGGGGTAATACAGCAATACCTTTAACTGCAGTCGTTTAACCGTTGTTTATATTTGTACATCATTTTGACTTGGGAAACTTTAGTACATTTCTTTTTTTCAATTTTTGACACAAAATTTACAAGATATCTACTATGTGACTGAACTCAAAATGTTTTTGGTAGACAGAAGACAGAATAAAAAACAATGGGATTATAAAACACAATAAAATAGATCTTATAATGACTTATTTAGTTCATAAAGAAGTAAAAGTAATAAAACAAGAAATGCCTACAGGAAGAGCAAAGCTGGGGGAATAGATTGATCAGGTGCAAACATTATTAAACACGGACAGATATAAGCTCCGAGCAACAAAAAGGCCTGCAGACAGAGAAAACATGATAAAAGGATCCAGCTGCTTCTAGAGAAAAGGCCAAATTGAAAAAAATAAAACACCACATGAGCTCAAAGGCGGAGAGAAAAATCCAATGCTCCTTCAAGATCAGACTGGCACAGCTTGCAAAAATACAAAAAGAGGGAGAAGTATCTGTGAGATATGATCAAATTGATTAAAACTGTCCAAAAATTAACTCTGATGATTCATATGTCCCCAGGCAGCAAGCACTTCTTTATTTTATATGGCCTTACTGGCGAATGTAAACTTGATGTTCTCTGACATCAGTTTTGTAGATTTGATGTTTTCAGACAAAAACAAGTGGAGCATCAAGAAAGCAGCATCACTGAATTAAAGTGAAAATGGATCAAAGATAAAACTCTGTTGAAGAGAAGTCTGACGGAAACCCTAAGAAGGACAGACACTAATGAGTAGTTCTCTGACAGCATAGAAAAGCAAGGAAGAGAGTATTGCCTGTTTTGACATATTGAATTATATCTGTTAACTTTTATGTTTAATTTGTGTGCGTCATGAACAAGTTGAAAAGCTAAGTCAAAATGCAAAAGAACTTGAACAAAGTACTGCACAAAAAAATAAATCAGAATGTGAGGAGGATGAGTCAGATACACACATAAATAAATGAAGTCTGATTTGGAGAAAACATTACAAAGTACCTGGTGACCTGATTAGTCAAACGTGTCTGAAGTAGCAAATCTCTGTCTGGTAGCAAGCTGTCACAGATGAGGTTCTGATTGGAGCGCACAGCCACACCATGGCACACACACAGAGAGCTCAGCACCTCCAGCACCTGGAACAAAACCCATCAGCGCTTCATGCAGCAGCAATAATCAGTAGTGATTAATGGCAGGTCAAAAATCACCAATGGCTTTAACAACTAACTACCCATTGTCTAGCTTAAACTGCAGAAACAAGCACAAATTCAATTTCCTTTTTAAACCAAGAGAACATTTATGTGATTTTACATCAAATTTGAACTAAAATAAACAAAAAAAAATCTGCTCGTTTTGGTTAAAGTGTATTTTTATTGAATCTTATTCAAAGTAAACATGAAACCAAGCCAGTGTCTACCTTATGGTTGTGTCCATGCTTCTCTAAGAATGAGATAATAGCCTGAATATGTCCATCCTTAATGACATTTAGTGCTTCAGGACTTTCCACCAGAACACAGTGAAGGACTTCCAAAACTCCTGAAAATGGTAACGCCTTGTTAATTCAAGACAGGAACATCAAATGTCTACAGAAAATGACTCTTTGCATCAAATAACCACTGATGTTAAATTACTGAAGTCTGACTTCAGCAGCTTTATTATGAATGAAATGTTCACAAATCCAACCAACCAGAGYAGGCCTCCAGCTGGTCCAACCTGCTAATGAGCCAATCCACAGAACTCGAGAATTGTGCACAGTTCACACGATTTCCCCGGATCAGAGCAGCTAAAAGATAAACAAMTGAACTATTTTAGTTCAAAGAATCACTGATATAAAAACTGTAACTCTACCTGGCATTTCAAGTAGCTTGCACTATCACAGACTGATGAGAAACTCAAATGTAAAACCTCAAATCTGCTTGATAAAGATGCTTTTTTATTTAATTCGTACCTAGTAGTTCGTAGTAACGGTTAATGATGGCCTCCCATCCTCCTGTGTCACTTTGAGCAGCCTCAGCAGAATGAGAAGCACCACCATATTGTTGTAGATGGTCAATACAATCCAGGACCAAATCTACCACACCCTGTGAGGAAACAGACTATTAGTGAATCTAATAAACCACAGAGTACCTCTTAGATCGTTGGTTTATTTACCTCCTCTTGGAACATGTTCTGGCGTTTTTTTAATGCAGTTATTGTTTTGTGTTTGGCTTCTTGGCTTTGGTCCTTCAATGGATGGTGGAAATATTTGATAAGATCCTGAAGACTACGTGTAACTGTCTCCACAGGCAGATTGTTTCCTTCTTGACTGAAAACATCAAATTTCCTAAAAAAAAAAAACATAAAAATACAAAAAATTGAATTACAAAGATGTGACTGTTTTCTTTTAACTCTGTAAAGAGAATAAAATCTGGCTTACTGTGATTCAAAAAAGACTAAGACTGACAAAGAATGTTTTTGTTTTGTTGATCAATGCCCAAGAACAGAAATTTTTAACTGTATTTTCTGGCATAAAACTTTTCAAAAGAYGGATTTTGGGGAAATGAAAATATGTCCTTGTTTTGTATTTACTGAAACAAAACAATAAAACTAAAACATGTTACATCAGATTTTTTTTCATCTGRTGCTGGGGTAAAAGACTTTTTCCCATAAAACTACACTGTACTTAGTAAGTAGGTCACAAATACATGATAATGTAGATGTAAGGGTAATGTATAGAACAAAACAACATAACTCTGATGAGTGTGTGTCTCAGCTAAATACTCTATCCTTAAATTGTTGAAGAGACAATACAGCTGTAAAATGCCATCTTTGTTTTGTTGGTTTAAGCATTTTGCTTTCAGTCAGTTAACAACAAAGTTGATGAAATCTTAATTGTACCTTATAAAACGYTTGAACAGAGAGTTCGTGCTCCTGATAAGTCGAGCAGTGTGAGCTTCTTCTCTCTGAGAGCGGGACAGTGTCAGTCCATCATCCATGTGACCCTCGCTGTGCAAAATGGCCTGAAAACACATAATTCTGCATCATTTTCAGTTCTGACTGTAGAAGTAAAAGATTACACGGGTGATTATGGTCACCTTCCTCTGAACGGCTCCTAAATGACACTTTGCATCAGCAGCTTGATAAGTTAGCCAGAGCCCAGAGTTTAAATGCTGAACATAACAAACAGAATCTCCATATTTGATCTCTGGGTTTCCCATGTCATCAGGGGTTTTACCAGAGTCAAGCTTCTCCTGCAGGCATAAAATACACATTTAGTGTAATACTTTATTATATTATCAGCAAAAATCTAATTTTATTCTATGTTTAGTTATGTACTGAAATGAACTTGTTTAGACTACACTGCGAAGGAATTGTAATACATTAACTGCCCTCAAATCTACAGAAACTTTTAGGTTATGAAATTTGGCAGATTTCTTCCAACATTCCTGACCTTTGAGGACCTGAAGCAAAAGGAGGTTGTGTTGATGTCAGCCTTATCCCGACCAACCAGATGCAGGCCCTTTTCTTCTGTAAGACCCAGGTACCTCCCAGTAGTCACATGACACAGTCTAAATGGCTCGCTCCAACTCACGTGCTTACCACTCCAGCTATGAAACATAAAGATCATAAAAGGTTTCTGATCAGTATGACATGGCACAATAATCTTCTAAAATCTTAAAAACAATCATAAAAAAGCAAAAATCAGAAATAAAAAAAATGTAACAATGAGCGTTAGGTGACTTCTCAGTTTCTCACAGCACTTACGCAACACAGAGAATTTCAAGCCTCCAGAGGGAGCGAGCAGAGCTGGAGACTGATCCTATCTCATACTGAATTACTCTAGATTAAAAAAAAACAGGCCTAGTCAGAGAGGTAAAATAAAAATAAAAAGTTTTATGTTGCAGACATGGCAGGGGTCGATCTTTTTTAACTGACCTTTGAAGCTCCTCTCCCTGCTCTGCTGCAGAAATAGTCAAACATGCATCACTGTGGCTGTGGAGAAATCGCAGTGTTTCACCCCCCTTCAGATATCCTACAATAAGAACAACACATTATACAGTACATTAAAACATCTTCCTTAAAACTGAATGTAGTATCTTTATGCATAATTTAAAGCCTTTTTGTATTACACTTCCATAATGTTCAGTTCATCATATTTTTGCTGGAAATGCTTACATTATAATAAAGTTCTGATTAAAATTAATGATTTTTAAATCAGTTTAAACAGGTTCCCACTAATGACAAAACTTCTAAAGTATTTGTCATGTGTGTGTGTGTGTGGGGGGGGGGGGTGTGTGTGCTAATGTACATATATTGAGAAATATGAAACCTTTTTTCCCCTATCAAATTTAGTCAAAGCATTTGCTGTGAGAACATGTTCCCAACTTTTTTTTCTTTCAAGAGCACATGATCTCAATTATAAAACAAATATATAATAATAATCAAAATTAGTTTGGATTCACCCGTTTCCAAAATAAACTCTCAGGCTAAATTAACTAAACAAACATGAAGAGTCTTTCTCAGACAAATCGCCAAGAGCTCGACATTTAAAGCCTCTGAGATCCTCTTCAAATTTGGGAGAATGTCCCATCAGGGTGACAAATCAACATTATTTATTCAACCAACCATTTCCGCTAGAGCAGCTACAAACTGATCTCAGCATGACAACCCACTTCAACTATGTAAGGTGTGTATGTATGTATGGCCTCAAACAATGTCCTCAACACATATTTGTAAAACATTTTTTATATAAATCTAGAAAAAAAGTTTGTTTTGACATGATGTCACAACTTTTTAAAAAGGTTGAAAGAGGTCTGAGATATTCAGACCCAATATCCCTCAGCTGTTTGAAACAAAGACTGAAATCCCAGTAAGGATTAATGGGAACAAAGACAAATGCAGTGAAGTCACAGTTCAGCTTAAAAGACAACAGTGGCTTAAAGCATAAAGCCAAAACCACACGGGAAAATGTTCAAAACAAGTTCCTGACTTTAGCCTGTCAAACACAAGAGTTCCAAACTTTCAACATTTGGGAACTGGCAGCTCAAAACTCAGATAGTTTTGAGAAAATCTGGGAGAAAATTAAATAAACGGTTTAGCGTTTACGTGCAAAACATCRCAAAGTTGCAGCTGTTGCCAAATGACACAAGAAGTGAATATTGCAAATTTCTGGTACATCATATACAGCAGGTGAAATAAGTATTGAACACGTCACCATTTTTCTCAGTAAATATATTACTAGAGGTGCTAATGACATGAAATTTTCACCAGATGTCGGTAACAACCCAAGTGATCCATACATACAAAGAAATCAAACCATAAATGTCCAGAAATGAAGTTATTTGTAATAATGTGGAATGGCACAGGGAAAAAGTATTGAACACATGAAGAAAGGGAGATGTAAAAAGGCATGGAAAGCCAAGACACCAGCTGAACTCTTTCAGTAATCAGCCCTTGTCAGTGCAAGTTAATATCAGTTGGTTCAGTCCCAAATGATGGCCAGGTATCACACAAAAACCA